GATTTAAATTCCCTTCTAATCGCATCTCGCCTATCTCTTATTCATTTCTTTTTCTTTTCTTGCCTTTTTCTTTTTTGGTCTATCACCTGTCTTTTCTACCGCTCATTGCACACGAACTATTAAATCTAAAACGTTGTAGAGCATTATTAAATCTTTTTAAGTCCCATTTAAACCGAATATATCCGATCTGACAATTTTTACTATTATTCGCGGAAATCGGATTTACTCTCATTCATCTACCTCCACTACCAACCACCCTCCACCCCATCCCCTTACTATAATTTCTTTCTCTCTGGAGTCCCACTGTTCGTTTTCTTTCTATCTCTGTTTCAACCATTAGTCCTGCCTGTCATTCAACGTAATCCAACGAAACGAATATAAGTCCATAGGAATTTCAATTTTCTTTCATCTTTGTGGAATTCCTTCGAGTCGATTAAATATTTCATTTCTTCTTCATGCTCGTCATAGAGATATAGAAACTTTTCTAAGAAAAATACACCCTATAATGTTTTGATAATTATATTTAAAACAATTCGTTTGCTTGTGACATCATATATTTCTTTTTCACATTTGAAATCAAATTTTAATTTCATACTTTATCTAGTCGCCCCTCTTGCGAATTCATATATTACCTAATTGACGTATAGTAATGCTACCTCTATTTTGTTCATACTTAAACTGATCAGTTCAGTTGTTTCATGATTATTTCATTAATTATTTCATTTCATTTCATGAAATGGATTTCACAAATTAACGTCAACATATATATTACATATACTTACACGTGTATATTTTATAACACGAAAGAAAAGAAAAAAAGTCTAGTTCTACTTGGTAGCAGTCTAAATCCGTGGAAACCTTTACTAATGAAGTCGCCTGGACTCCCTTTGATGCGCTCATCGTCATCGTAGCAAGCTTTATAAACTCTCTCGGTAGAGAATATCGAGCGGTCCTCTCTTCTGGAATTAACCCGTGTACGACAACGGTGCCGCGGGGACATAGATTTTTCATTAGATTTTCCCGTCAAGTTCTTCCACCTTGCTACGATGAGACATAAAGGGAGAAAGAGAAAGAAAACTTCACGTACATATTCGTTACAGATTTCCTACATATTTTATATAAGGGGTGTATCTATTACAAAGGGTTAACGAACATTCAAACAGTACGCCAACACAAAATCTCAGTCTTTTATATTAGAATATGCGATTCTTCCCATAAAGATGTCAGTCTGTTTTATCTCTACTGTTCTCTTTTTTTTTTTGTTTAATTTTTCTCTGCTGCTTTTATTACAAAATCGATACAAATAAAAAACGAGAAGAAAAAAACAAATTTTCATTTCGGCAGACGATTCGTTTCAGTTCGAAGTACGGTTAACATTCTAGAACAGCACCAGGTGTTTCAAAGCATCCCTTTCTAGCTGTATATCTATCCACGTGGCGATACGGTGAAATAGGGTTGGTTGGTTACTACGAAGGGAAGGGGATGAGTGGGGGAAATGGACTGGGGTGGATCCATCCTTTAACGATGGAAGAATTATGGCGGCGGTAAGCACCGATACGGTGGCACACTTACGACCGAGTGCACGGTAACGTCAATGAAACCACGCTGTTTAGTAGCTGCACTTTCTCATGCCAAAGACGACGACAACGACGACGACGACGACGACGACGACGAAGACGACGTTCCGTAAGAGCATCCTGCGAAAGACGATCGTATATAACTTTATTTTTCGTTCGAGGCTCTTTTAAAAGAAAGGAAAAAGAAAAGAAAAGAGAAACAAAAAACAAAAAGGTCGTTTGTCAAATTCAAACTGTGGCAAAAAGTTGGGCTGACTTTATTTTCTATATCACGAAGAAAATTGTTCGAAAAATGATCGACTCTAGTTGCTGTATTACACGCGACTAAATCGTAATCAATTGTTGTTGTTGGAGAGGGGAGAGTAGAGCCAAATTTTTTCTAAATGCATCTGTAGAAATAATATTGTTTAACTCTTCCATCTATTACTCCTCCCCCACCTTATCAACAATTAGCATTACTTACAATTAAACAATTTTGACAATAATGTCATTTGAAAATTTGTAATAAAAAGGTCCGCGTTAAAAGAGAATTTGAAAAATTGATTTGAATTTAATTTGAATAAATAGAACAAAAATCGTGAAGATATTTCAAAACGAAAGTACAGTACTGTGCGCGTGTATAAGTGTGTCTCTGTGTGTTTGTATACTAGAGCAATTGGAAGGTCGAAGGGAGAAGGACGTTTTCGCGATACTATCCTAAAAGGCATTCTCGATTTATCACTCAGGCTTTCTCTCAAGGGAAAACGAGTGGATGCATTTTACTCTCGGCGTCTTTAAGAATGCAAGGAGAATTATGAAAGTTCGCGATAATGTGCCAGCCCTGTTGTAGAGTTCGTGCCTTCGCGAAGAAGAGACCCTGAGAGAGGGTTAGGGCTCTTGGGTCGTCCTATCTATGTATATAAACCAATCGAAATTTGTCATTGTCGTCCTGGTTTCTATCGATTCTTTACTAAGAACACCCAAGAAGAAGTAGCATCCTTGCAATATGCAAATATTTTAGCATGATTCATCATTCACGATTTTTCGAGACTTCCAACAAAATTATACCCCTTTTCTTCTCTTTCTCCTTCGTGTTATTTCCTTATTTAGAAAAAATCATTTCGATAGGCGATTAAAATCATGCCAAAAATCATTCATTTCCATTTAAATATTGTTTCTGATTGATTGCTCGTTCCTTTTCAATTTTTTCCCTTCTTAAAATTAATTTTCATTTATTTTTATACGAATTATAGTACATCATAGATTAGAATTAGTTGAGTCTTGACGTGTATTGTTATACCCATAACAAAGAGTTCCCTTCTCCCTTTAATATCTCTTCCTTTAGATGTGTTCACCCTCATCGAAATCATTCCAATCTCCCTTCCGCGATAAATCATTTAAGTTTCATCCTCGTAGATGTACACGCATACATGGAAACGATTTTCCAAGAAGACACGTGCCTATAAGTCATAGAAAATCTCTTAGATTTATCACCCTTATTCTTTCCAACATTTCGAAGCCTAAGACCGATCATATTCATGGAAAATTCCATGCTAAATTCAAGCCACGTATAATCGTAATCCTTCTACGATCAAATCAAACTCGTCGAGAGGATTTGAATATTTTCCGACGAATTAACTTATTGATTACTACGCATGATCATTATCTTTTCACCTAAGTATTCAAACGTTATATAATTTTGTTAAAACTAAAGAGAAAGAAAAAAACTAATCATCATATTGAAACGTTGATGTTAGGGAAGTGTGAAGTAGGTTGTTTGCATTTGTCGAAAAGGTTCTGCTTCCGATCTCGTACGTATTATATGTTGGTAGTAGTAAAGGTGATGAGGATGATGGTGATGGGGTAGTGGTTGTGGTAGTAGTAGGGGTGGATGTTCGGTTGACAAACGGCTTGCCAGATCCAGGCGACGAGCCTCTGGCTCCCCTATCGTGCAAGCGTTGCCTTTTGCCACGTTTACACGAGTGCAATACCTTCACGATATAGAGTTTAATAGCAACTAGAGCCAGTACCACCTGGCCCTGCCACTCTGTTTCTGCCAACTTTCTCTCGGCTACTGTGTAAGAGAGAGAGAGAGAGAGAGAGAGGGAAAAGGGTGAAAGGGGGGGGCTTGTACCGTCTATGTTTTTGTGTGTGAAAACTAGTCGAGGAGAGTCCGGACGACGTACGTTCGTCCTTTCACCTTCTCTTTTTCTTTTTCTTATTCTCTTGCTGTCTCTCTTTTCACAAGCTTGGAAAATCCCAGTGGAATTGGAGACGGTGATAAAATGGAAAACGCGTCGCTTCAAAGCCGGAAGTCAGAGAGAGGGAGAGAGAGTGAGGAGAGAGAAAAAGAAAACTTGTCCTAAAGGGTAGGCCGTTTCTTAACGTCAAACGAACAACCCAAAAATGTCTTTTATTCTACTTGGACCATTTGATTATTCTTTAAAGGATTACGTTCAAAGTACTTCTCGTTTAAGACGAGAGAAAAAAAAGAATAGAACTAGAGGAGATACACATTTTGTATGAGTTTATATGTGTATATCAATTTCAAATATACCTAAACACGGATTTGATTTCTTTTCTTTTCTTTCTACTACTTCTTAACCCTTTCCTTCCAGACTTTTTTTATTTTTCTTCGCATATATCCACTCCACTTTCTTTCATTCATTTATTCGTTCTCTTTCTTTCTTATTTTCTTTCTTTCTTTCTTCCTTTCTCTCCATTGCTTTTGCATAAACTTGGAAAATTTGTAGAATTTCGTTGGTTCGATGTACTCAAAAGCATCTTATCGTATTCCCTATCGTATTCTATCGATCCGGAAATGGATTTACGTGGAACTTGTTTCAGTTACTACTATAACATAGGACCGCGAGGAAACGGAATAAGCATATCAAGTGTATTGCAAGACGATACCTAAACGTATACTTGTCTTTTTTTTCCAACCATCTTTGAAACAACTCTACTTTCTCGAACAATGCTACTTATTTTGTTCTTCTTTTTCTACTTAACTTGTAATTATCCTTCGACTACGTATATTTTTTCAAAATAATAAACGATTAAATACTCCTACGAGATTAAATAGATAAATTGTGTCCTACGAAAAAGATTTCAATACTATGAAATACCTAGGACCGATTTTAAGTACGCGAACAAAAAAAGATTCGTTCGATAAATATTTTTTTTTTTATAAATAATATATATATAGCTACATTTCCGAATAGAGGTGGAGATATTGAAATTTGTGTAAAGAAGATATTAATCAAATATTCACTTTATATCGATATAACATTCCCTCTTCGAAGATGCTCCAATATGAATAAGTTTTCTTTTCCTTCCATAGGTATGGTATGAAGAAATAGGGGGTGGTAGGAGAAAAGTGGTGATGGCTTTAGTGGTGGTGGTGATGGTAGTAGGGTTTAAGGGGAGGGGGGGCGGTAGTTTGGATGTAGTAGACGTAGCTTATCCGAACCATAGTAAAAATATTCCATATTTCAGTCTCTCAGCAGGCATCGAAGCGAAGCTGGAAGAAAACCGATAGAAACTGAACGAGCATGCGTTTATGTATGTGAGTGTGTGCGTGTGTAGGATAAACGTGAAAGTTTTTCTTTTGAGAACGCAATCCTTGTAATACGGAAACTATAAATATGGCTACCACGGCATGTGTTAAACGTTTTCTTTATTTCTTTATTCCACTTCTCTATATCTGTCTCATTCTTTCTTTCTTTTATTTCTAAAACCGTGTCTCACAGTCAGTGTTGCATATTCGGGAGAAGTTTCGCTCAACGAATTGCGATTCCCACGATTTGATACTTTTTTATTTTATCTCATAGTCTTTCCCTTCTCTTTCTCTTTTTCCTTATCGTATCTTCTTTGTCTTCAACATTTCCAGTCGAGATTTTGTACGTTAAACGATAATGCTATACGCGATGCACCGAACACGTGAACATGCCCATAGAAAATAAATTCATACAACACGTAACCGTGTCACTCCACTTGAACGTTTTCTAGTTTTGTAATAGTGCTACCTTTCTCTCTCTTTTTTTCTTTCTCTTTCTTTTCCTTTTTCACTCCTTTCCCTTTTTTCTTTTCTCATTTATATCATACATATTCCTATACCGAGTATCTCCAAACGATTTTATTACACGTACGATATAAAAATATTAATTTCATGAAATATTCAACGTCATTCTTATATTCAAGATTGAACAAAATTGTCTACGAATCATATTCCGAATAAATTTATAATTATTTTCTAAATGTTATACTTTTTTATCAGCTTTCTTGAATTTATGGAAAATCTGTCAAAGGAATATTCTAGTTCTTTGTGTTACTAAAACGTAGAGTGATGCCGATGCTCTGAGAATTGCTGATTTTTTTCTTCTTTTTTTTTTCTATTCATTATACTGTAATATGTAACCTCTTCCAACGTTGCTTATAATACTAAGCAAACTGGTACGGTTGAATCTCAAAGAAACTCTCATATTGAAATCTCTTCATATTTTTTTCTTCTTAAATTCTTTTCTCTTACATAATATCGTTTCTTTTTATCGTTTCATCTATCCTTCAGATATTTTTCTCGTTATTATTTTCTTTATCAGCTTATTATTCTCGTACCGGCAATAAACCTTCTATCACGATAAAAGAATTTTTATTTATGATTAAATGATTTTTCTTCAAACTTAAATCTTAAATTTGACGATAAAAATAATCATAATCTATACCTATGCGTATTAACGACTAATAATATTTATAATATCTATTTAATTTGAACTTCTCAGTACAGAATGAATTATAAGATAACATCGTTCCCGGATAAAACACCGATTTTCGCTCAGGCTGCTGGTTTCAAAGTCGCATGGGAATTACCAACAAATAACATCTTGGACAATCGCGTTGGCAGATCCCTTTCGGAGATCCACAAATCCGCGAAGCTAGTTTACCAAAGGTAATAAATAATTAAATAGGAAGTTAATAATGGAATGGACGAGTCACTGATTTTAGGATCACCTGGCCTAGAATTCCGAACGTTTAGGATATATATGTATATATATATATATGTACATGTATATACCTTTATGTATATACAATTGAAGGTAAGGGGAAGGGTGGAAAGCAAAGAGGCCGGATTTCTGGGCGTTCTCTTCAAGATTTCGGCGGTAGGAAGGTGGTTTAAATATTGCCCAATGCAATCTCGTCTTCTCAAAAGCCAACCCTTACCTAAGTCTCCATTACGATCCCTCAACGATAAATCTTTACTTCTCCTTTGATTCCCATATAAATTCCATTGAATTAATTCGTTTAATCGAATTGAAAATTGCTATAAATTGCTATCAAGTTTTAACAAATCCATTGAAAATGTAACATCAATTATGGGATATTTCTGTTATTTCCTTTTTCTCCTTATTATTTCTTTTAATTTAGTTTATAAAAATACGCGATATGTTTCAGTCACGGTTTTGACGGGCACTCTTGTCTCTTGAAGAACATTTGCCATATTCTAGAGTACGTTAAACGAAATGACGGCGTTATTGCGAAGATATTGAAATTATTCGTCGGGTAAGCGTTCCGCATATTAATATCAATTACACGTCTCCGGTATTAATCACGTTCCGTTTTCAGGCCGTACATTAATAACGACACGTCGACCAATCCTGGATCGTCGGATTTCTGTCGCGTTCATCTAGAAAATTGTCCATTACAGTTTCAAGGGGTCAACGCTTTTTCCAACAGGATTTACGATCTTTGATAATGTTATTTCTAGATCAAGAGGATTCTACATTTACGATTTTCTATTCAATTCTATTTCGAAAATATATTAAGTCGTTTAGTATGGGACGATCGATTACTATAATTACTTTCAGTTCGAGATTTGATATTTAATACTTAATGACCTAATATATATATATATATATATCTTTATAAAGTCCTGAACAAATTGATGCAATTAAATATAGAATTGTTTAATCCGTATATTTGTAATTATAAGATCACGTAACTTATAAAAGTTCATGGAATTTAATCGTAGCGAATATTAAAGCTTTAACGATAATTTAACCACTTTAACTAGGACGACCTAACGACTCCTAATTCGTAGTAACTTGTCCACGGTACGCGTTATAAGCGGCTACACTGTTTTAATAGAGAGAAAGAGAGAGAAAGATCCCAGGGAAAAGTAGAAAATTTCTTTCCTTTTTTACAACGGAATTTAAAAAGATGGAGGATGCTCGTGTTGAAAATTCTCTTTTCACCTGTGAAAATTTCATTTTTTCGTGGCGATGACCACGATGATTAGTGGTTTTACTGTAAAGTAGGAGGTGGTAAGTTACGAGTAAGGGGAGGAAAAATATATCGACGTCAGAGCCATTATTTCTCTCTCTCTCTCTCTCTCTACTGATTGTGAATACCAACACACGTTCGTATGAAGTTCATATAAAAGATAAAAAAGAGAAACGCGTATTTTAGAGAATTATAATCATATACTTAGTAAATATATATCAAGGATAAACTTTTTCAACTAATATTCTATATCCTTCTCCTTTTTCTTTTAAACGATGAACGATAATTTCCTTATCTGTGTATACGTTAGATCAAATTTCATTAGAGTATTCTCGTATAATACTCTTTCACGTGCATTGAGTTGACTTATAAAATTTCTCAATCCCCATACATCCATTCTCGAATAAATTCTTTTTCATTTTTAGTTTCATTCGCATTCCCTAGTCTTTCCCCATATCTCATCCCTCGTCTCTTTCTATCTGGTCACGTCGTTCTATCAATAGACAGAGAGTGCGTATGAGAGTGAGAGAGTAGAGTGGTTATAATTGCATCTGGCGGTCCCGTTGGTGGGCACGTTAACGAAAAGCATTAATTTAGAATGCTCTGTGGTTTTCTTCTCAGACAAGCAAATACTCATACAACTCCCATATCCAATTAACGGCTCGCTCGTTTTCCCACGATGAGCTATGAAACGAGGAAATAAGAGTTGGCGAATGAAAAGGAGCCTAAAAGCTTCACAGCTTTTCTTCCATCTTTCTTTTTCTCTTTTTTTTATTTATATTTCATTATATCTACTTATATTCCTTTTTTTTCTCTTTTTTTTTACATACGATTATATATGTCACTTATATCACTTATGTCACTTATATTACTTTATCTTTTTTTCCCCTCAAATTTTCTTTCTTTCTATATATTATTGTATTTATCTATCGTCTGATTGCAAATGCTTCACACGCTAATTAAAAGTGACCGAAAGAGGTTTCGAAAGAGAGAAAGAGAGAGAGAGAGAGAGAGAGAGAGAGAGAGAAGCAAACTTTAAAGGACATCCGATTATTGACTTTCCTTTCAGTTTCTTAATTGCTTTTAACAACTTGCGGTAGAAATGGGAAAAGCGTAAAATTCTTCCGTATTTTTGTGACATCTCCGATGCTTTTCTTCTATCAAAAAGATCGAGATTTGACGATAGAAATTCTAGGATACCGAATTCGAATTGCTTTTCATTCGAAACGAAGATTCTTTTCTAAACAAGATGGTAAAGAAATAGAAAGAAAAAGATTATCGTCAAAGAGCGTGTACACACGCTTGCTTCCCCTTTTTGAAAGGAAAAATTCATTTGCGCGTCGCAAATTTCGATCAAAGATTTATACGTACCATCATACGAACTAACACTTCGGTTCTTTACTTTGCTTTTCTTTTTTGTTTAACTTTTTCTTTTCTTTCTTTTTTGTTCTTTTTTATTTTCTTATCGTCAATTTTTCAAACAAGCCACGCGAAGAATAACATTTTTACCCGTATACTTTAGTTTTTTATCTCCCACTCGTAATAGCAACCTGATAAATATTTTAAAGAGAAAGTTACGACTGCACATAAATGGATCTTATGTATATCCATCTTCACTCCTTTCTTTCTTTCTTTCTTTCTTTCTTTCTTTTCCTATTTCTCTCTTTTTATCTACGTTTCTCATAGAAAATGCAAAAGGAATGTTTACATCAAGCAGACGTGTTTATTCTTCCTCTTTTACCAACGCAACTATCTTCAAGGCTTCCTAGATTCAGTTTTAGGAAAGTAAAGCAACGCTTTTCAAATTCGTTCCATGCCGTATTTAATCTTTCGTATTCATGAATAATAGGAAGGGCAGATTAGAGAAAGAGAAAGAGAAAGACTGTAAGAAAGGGAGAAAGGGAAAACATTGAAGCTGTTCGCCTTTTGTACCAGTTTTCCTTTATCTTTTAATACATTACAGCGCGATCTATTAATCTAAGAATTTTCCTATAAAGATAGTCTCTTCATTTAAATTACATTAACTATCTATTTACCTATATAACTACTTACTTGCTTACTTTGATACGGAAAACATGAGATTTTAAACAAAATAACTTCAATCAAGAACCTTTTATTATCCAATTAGATTCTTATTTATATGAGAATATTTAAGATTATAAATGAAATTTTTACAAATATATCCTTTGATAGTAGCTTTGAAGAAGCATCTCAAATTGAAAAAAAAAATAGGAGTTTTATTAAATTACTCGACAGGATAGTTTTCAATATATACACCTAAAAATCCCTGGGGAACCGTGAAATATTATACAATTTTCAATATTTTCATTTTATTTCCGACTTCTTATTCGTACGAAATTGGTCTTTCGACAGTTGTTATAATACAATCAAAAAATATATAAAATAGAATACGGGTACCTGAGTTCATTTTTTCAATAACATCAACGTTTTTTTTTTGTTAACCAGTCAAACTTGTATACGTGGTCATCCACCTCTTGCAGAAATGTTTGAACGAGAACTCGAATAAATAAGTTAGCTTAGCTTTATTTAACTTAGGAATATCGCTGGATAAACAGGTGGGGTGGTCATTTGAACCGGTATAAAAAAAAGAAAAAACGGAGAATGCTCCGAGAAGAGGTTACTACCGTTACCGAACACTCGGAAATCACCAAAGAAAACATTATTCTCCATCTTTCTTTTTCTTTCTCTTTCTCATTTCATCCCGAGTTGTTTAGTAAATCTTGAAATCTTCAAGAAGAAACTAAACTAACCAACAGCTGCCGGCAGAGCATCAAGACAGCGTTCAATCTACTTCGTGAGATATAATATTTAACGAATCCATGCAGTTTCTATATCATCTAATCGATATCACGTTGTTGAAAATGACACGAGCATAACAGAGATGAGGATTATTATAATATAAGGATTTTCATCTTAATCGTCGCGAACGTTATTTTATTTTCATTAATTTAATATAAATCTGATTTTTTGTAAACGATCGGTTATTATTAAATCGATTTACATCCTTCCCCTTTTACGATCCTCGCAACACGAGATTCTTTTCTTCCACAAACTTCTCCGGGGTTTCTCGATTAATCCAAGTTTTTCGAACAATCTCCTCTCGGTATCGTGGAAAGAAAAAAGAAAAAAGGGAACAACGATGAGAGGAAAAATGAGGAAGTAAAGTGAGTTTATTTATGTTATCGTAGAGAAATTTGTAGTAAACGCATGGTGAAATCATTTATTATTCGTCATTTTCTTTCTTTTTTTCTTTAATATAAAAATACTTATAATCATTCGTAAAAATGATTTATTATTTAGAAATTGACGATAACGTAAATAATTGTTGAAAGAAAATTTCTTTCTTTATAAATCGTTTGTTATTTTTAATTAGAATATATTTTATTAGATTTTGGATAAATATCATTTTGGAATAAAATAAAAATGAAATTGACGAAGTTTGGAAAATAGGAAGATAATGAAAGTGCGTTTGATGTTAAAGTGAAAGATCATTGAAGAAATCAGTTGCTTCCGTGTATGCCGTTATAACCTGGAAGTGACGTACAAAGGATTCAGGAAAATAGAGGAAAATAAAGTTTTGGCTTAAGTCTACTCGAAAAGATGAAAACTTTCCGTCGTTTCTTTAGTCATCTACTCGTGATCGTATGGTGTTTGGATTTCTTCTTTTTATACGCTAGCAGCTTCCACGAGGATGTACGAGGAAATTCCGCGGAAGTCGAGGTTGCTCCGAGAATGCACTCACGACAAAAGAGATATCTGATCTTCCCCGAAGGTAGCAACTTACAGGTAAATAACGTTGCTGGAATATCTAACTTCTGCATCTTTCTAACAATTATTCCTTCGGACGCTTTTCGTACCATTCAAATTATATTTTAGAAAATACTCATTTAATTTAACGACGTACGTTTCTCAACAAAATTGGATAAACGTTTAATCTCAATAATATACACTTCCCAAATCAGAACTAAAACATTTGTCACGACTGTTTATTTTATAATTTCCAATAATATAGATACAATGTGAATACAAAATAGAATAAAATAAAATAAAATAACGACAAGTAAGCAAATAGATAAGAACAGTTTGAAAAGAGGGACAAATGAGTACTCATTGTCAAGCTAGATATATATATATATATCGATATCATTCTAGATAGAATTTTCGCGCGTTTAGCGTGCATGAATCGACAGAAATCCAATGTGAAACGTATATCGTTTAATATAGAATAAATGCATACATATGCACAAAGGTAACATTTCACCTAACAAAACAAACACACACACACACATACACAGAAACAAACAAATAAACATAGATAGATGTAGATACATTTATATATAAATCCATTTTAGTTAGTGTACTGCTTGACTATCGGAGCGTATGGCAGAAACGATGATTTGGTGATGGGTCTGACAGCAGCGTTGGCTTGGGAACTTCCGAGTAAAGTCGACTCCAAGATATCGGATTTACTTCACCGTAGAAGCCGAAGTGTCATGTTTCCGAAGGTTGAAGCTTTCTTGCAGTCGTGAGTACCTCGCGGTTTCTAACTAGAAGATTGTTACTTCGAAGTGGAGTTAAAGTAATTTGTCGTTGTCCAAACTCTTGGAAGGAAAATTAAATTCGTTTCCTTCTCTTTCCCTCTCTTTCTCTCTCCTTATTGAGACTTACGAGCAGGGAGTAAGAAACGTCATAGTCCAAAACAGAACAAGAAGAAGAAGAAGAAGAAGAGAAAAGAACGAAATATCAAATACAATAACGTATCTACAAACACGCACGCACACATCATACATATGCATATGAAATATCATGTATAATACTAGGCACTTTTGAAATGATATTTGTTTAGAAAAAAACACAAAATGGGAGGATAATCTTCGTAACGTTTGCGTTGATGCGTTTCAATTTGCCCATTTCAAGTTAACGAAAAGTTCGTGAAAATCAACGGTGAAATAACAACGGATTTTGGTCCGTTGCCTTTATTTTGTTTCTTTTCCTCGCGATTGCAACTTACAAAAAAGAAAGAAAGAGAGAGAGAGAGAGAGAGAGAGAGAGAAAGGAAGAAAGAAATAGGACCGACGGAAGTTATCCTCGAGGCAACGAAAATAACGGGAGACTTATGGCGTTGTATTCCGTAGGAAATGGGCCGCCCTTATCCCACGTAAATCCACGGAGAACTAAAGCAATCTTCCACTGTCGAAGCAACGAGCTTTCTCTTTCTTTCTTTCTTTCTTTCCTACATATTTCATCCCTCTATCTCATTCTCTTTCTCTTTTTCTTTCGCACGTTAAGCTACACACATACATGTATACAGATGACGCATCAAATCGATCGAGTTATTTCTATCGCGAATGAAGAAGAATGCGGTTACGATTTTCCACGCGTTTAACACCTTTTGACGTTCGATCCTTCTCGAGGCTCCAAACCTACGAAGATAATAATAATCGTTTCTCGAATAAACACATCTCATGGGAATAACGATGCGAAAAAAGGGACCTCCCTTTTTTTTCGTTTCTTTTCTTTTCTTTTCTTCCTTTTTTCCTTCCCTCGAAAGTATGTTTCGATAACTGAACGGAACACAAAAATAATAATGTTGTTTACGAATCAGTCAATCGATTGACAACAAAATCATTAATTTTTTTTTATTACCAACGCGCAAAAAGATTCTCTCTCCCTCTTTCAATTTATCTCGTTAAGTAGTAGGAAACTTTAGCGATTAATTGTTTTACAAAGAAGAGAGAAGGAGGAAGAGTAGAATGGGTGTGTTAAGTTTTAGGGAAAGTGTTGGTGATAGTTCGTTTAATCCAAGAGCATGACGTGTTCTCATCGAACTTTGCTATGCCAGAGAAGTGGATTTTAAATTAAACTTTATCGATAGCACTGGAATCGACGGAAGATCCTGCGTAATGAAGGCCCTGTGCGAGGCAGGCCAAAGACATCCATCTCAAATCGGCAAGGGAACCTTTATTCAAGAACTCCTGCACGCCATTTTTACGTAAGTCCAAAATTGTTCTTTCCTTTTTGTTTTTTTTTTTTTTTTTTTTCACAAATATTTCCTAGCATTTCAATAATAAAGCGATAACTTAAATAATTATAGAAAATTATTTGATAAATAAAATAAGTTTTTCAATTATTTGAAGAAAAATTAAATCGAATTTTGTGGTCACCGCGGGGATCGAACTTTTAACTTTGATATTCCAAATGTTGCTCGCGTATTATCTTCTGTTTTTATTTTCATCTCTCACTTTTTCTTTCATCTTCTCTGAAATTGTAAGAAAACGCTGTGACAACGACGCCATCGCGGGAAGTTAACATTTTTCTCAAGTTTCCTTCCTCTTTTATATTCGCCCGACGTTAAGTTCAGTGTATTTCACTTAGCTGTTAGACGTTCGTTTAAAGTGTTTTATGTTAAGTTACGCTAGTTCCTTCCCCTTTCCAGTCCACATTTTCCTCGATATCGGACGATTTAAATAAGCAAACGAGCTCCCTACCTCGTGTTCCTTCCTCTTTCACTTTTTCGTTGCACATGCATAGAAATTGCAAAAGTACTACGAAGAACGCGAAACTCTGACAGGGGGATGGAATAGTTCGGTAAACGAGCAAACGAAATTCGTAGGAACAAGATAACGAGAAAGAGAGAGAGAGAGAGAGAGAGAGAGAGAGAGGGACTGAGAGAAAAAGGGGAGGGAGTGAGGAAGAAACGAAATGAAATAAACGTTGGGGTAAGATGCAAGAACGGCGGAAAATGATATTGGTGTCGTTTAGCAATGCTTGAAAATATTACCCCGACACGATTAACTTCCTTCCAATTAGAAAGATCGTTCGCCATACATTTCGCGATGCTTCTGAAAATCTAATTAATTATAATATATTTGCCTTATCTGCGTCGCATTGATCGTCGAAACAAATTACACGAGTATTATTTCGATTTAAATGCATAAATATATATATATAAAATAAGAGAAAAAAAGAAAAAACAAAAATAAATGAATATTCTTCTTAGGAGATTTTGAGTTTGTTTGCGAAAGGGTTTTAAAAAGAAAACATAATACAATGAAATGAAATGAAATAAGTCATTGGATCGATTGAAAGTGTAATAATAAATGTATAAAAAAAGAAAAATGTTGTTTGCTTTTAGATTACCAAAAGATGGAGGAAAATTCGAACGTTTTGAGGATCGAGCTTACGAAGCAGCGTATGAAAACGGTGGAAACTGTAAAGAACTTTATCCAACGTGCCGGCACTCCATTTACAATGTGGATCTTTGAGATCGGAATAGGCGAGGCGAGACGAAAGCTTCGCCGAGAAATCGTAAGAAAACCTGTGCGATGTTACTGTTGCTGCTCACGGTGTAAAAGAAAAGCTCACGGTCTAAGAAAAAGCTCACCGCCATACTCGTCGACCGTTCCCCTAAGATCCGATAGGAGAAAACTTTTCAAAACTGACGTAGAAACGTGCTTCAAGTTTTTTCTTTTTGTATCTTTTTTTTCTTTCGTTTTTTTGGCTCCACTCCAATCGATCCTTTCGATTCGTCCGGATGGGAGAAGGATAATGCTTCAACTTCCGTCAAAATCGTTCCGATCTTTTTACCTCTCGGCGAGATCTTAAGAAAGACCCTAAGGAAATTACACACTTTTCTTTTTCTTTTTCTTTTTCTTTTTACTCCACTTTTATTACATTTATGTTTATCACACATCTAATAATTTCGACCGAAGAAACGTATGCACTTCGTGCGTATTTATTTCGGAAGGAAAAAAAAGAAAAAGAAAAATAAAGGGATAAAATATTGATCATTGTTTACTTCTTATTCATTTCATGAAATTCCCTTCAATTGTTATTGTAATACTCGTAAATATATAATAATATAAACGATGTTTAATCTTTTGGAAATTCTTATTCATCGATTCTCTTTTCTTCCTAATATTTTCTAATAAAATCGCTACGATGATCGTAATACCCTTCTTCCCTTATTCCTTTTTCTTTTTTAAATATAAGTTCTTGGTTTTTTCCAAGCATCTTCTTGGAAAAAGGCATCGGCATCGTATTTTCTGGAAAAACGTTTTTAGCCGAGCTCATCGGGACCCCAACGTCAAAGGCGAAATGCTTCTAACATTTTGGGTTCTTTTTTTTATTTTACAATTTTGAAAAGGTAATAGCCTCCTACTTGAAGAGTTTTATCTTTGATCAAACTTAAGGTTAAAGTTTGACCGAAGTTTATTCGGTTTGCGTTGATCAAAGGAAGATCGTCCTGGCGAATCTTTTAATCTTTCAAAGTGTAATTACCGTTGAAATCTTAAAATTTTCTTCATTCGATACTGCCCTTTTTGAAATGAATTAATTGAAATCGTTAACAAAAAGGACGCTATTATACAATAGCGATATCAACTAAATTATACGGTCAAAGATGAAATTAATTGAAACAAAAACAAACGCGATATCAATGGAACTTTATAATTTGAATCCTTTGACGACCCAGTGGCACCACGTTGGTCATGCGACAACGAAAAATCAAGCTCTAAAGTTAGAATGGATAAAATTCGTTTTACATACACGAGAACGTCGGGGTAAATATTTTCTTATTTAAATTTTTCATTATTCTCTACACGACGAGATATTGCGTTTTCTTCTCAGCAACGGCAACAGCAGTGGTTCATTTTGGTAGGAGAGAAAGAGATCTGATTGAAGAAGGAAGACAAACGAAAGAAGAAGAAGAAGAAGAACAAATTTCGATTGATTTTCAAACGATAGCTCGTTAGCAAAAAAAAAAAGAAGAAAAAAAGAATATAAAAGTAATTCAAATCGAACGATTACGATGTAAATAATTTTCGAAACTAATCAACGATTTCGAACAAACGAACAAACGGACGAACGAACGAGTACGAACGAGAACGAAAAGTTTTAACAACGCGATGTCTCACCTCGCCTACCCTTTTCCTACCTAGTCCTCCCACCCCATCCTTCCCCCCAACTCTCTCATGAATATTCCAAACCGGTCATTATATTACGTCGACGGGCCGTATAATTCATTTCGGTGCGGCTTCGAATAATTTTCGCGACGTTTTGCATTAATAAAATGGCCACTCGACTATCGTCAATTTATAGCTCATTTCGTTGGAGTGGTCCGAGCGCGCACAACTCGATCCGACTTTTTTTTTTTTTAAACCTACGGTCCCCCTCCCCTAAACCCCTTTACCTAACACAATCCACTCAACCCATATCTTTTTTGGCGTCGTTTCGCGTCGCGTCCTGTCGCGTCATGCGTATGCGCGCCTAGAAGGACCAAATATTTACGCCTCCTGTATAAGCGTGCGCAACGATATGGAAAAATAAGTTTTGCATTTTTCTTCTTTTTTTTTCTTTCTTTCTCTTTCTCTCTCTTCAATCTTCAGTAATATCGCGGAACAGAGTTTTATCCAGTTTGGAATAGAAACAATTTTGGAAACAAAATTTATACTTCTCGTAAAACTTATATTTACTTAAATATTTCATCTAAATTATTATTATTATTATTATTTGTGTATTTTTCTTTTTTTTTTATTACTGCAGAACGGGATTCTATGATTGAACCAGGCATTTGGCTATAGTCCATAAAGATCGTGCTTAAATTCGAGTCCGTGCGAGTAGAGAAAATATTTCAAAAATCGTAACGCACGTATCCCTACTAATTGAATTACCGGAAGGATGCTAATTTGGGAAAATTATGCAATCGGTGTATCGCCTGCGCTAAATGGTTTTCTTTCCTTTTTCCTTTTTTTTCTTTTTTCTTCTTTTAAAAAACAACGTAGCAACGGACGTGAATTATTTAACGAGCTAAGAAAATAATGATTACGTTACGTTAGGATTACGAAATATGATTCTTTTTTCATTCAAATTTCATCTAAATACGTGTATTTCATTAATTGGAAACATCGGAGAAGAGAATAAAGAAGGAGAGAGAGAGAGAGAGAGAGAGAGAGAGAATATCGATCTTGTTAACCGTGCAATAAACCTCCATAAATCGTATTTGATGCGATACAAGAGTATAGGGGGTTTAAATTAATATTCATACGCTTTTGAAAGCACCCACCGCCGATTCGTTTATGCGAATTCCATCCGCGCGTGAGTGCGTGTGTTTGTTGTTGGGACGACAACGACAGGAATATTGGAGGAGGGGCTGGGGGTACGGGTGCGGGTACGGGAATGGCAGGTTGAGAAGAGGGGTGGTTGGTGTTAACATACTTAATAGTCCGTTTATACCCCCGTGCGATTTCTCTCAGCCTTAATGGATGTTAAATCATTGTTTAGGATCGCTTTACCGCTAAAATCACGAGCGTAAGCGCGGAAATCGAGAAACTATTCTCTCTCACGGTGTATTCCTCTTCTCTTTCTCTCTCTCCCTCTCTCTTTATCTCTTTTACTAGTTCGATCCATATTGGCCGACATTAAAGCGTCGTCGTTAATATAAAATACGTTGAAATATAGAGTAAAAGCATAAGCTTCTGTTTAATGCTTTATTCTCTACTATAATAATAATAGTAATGATATCGGTGGTAGGTATCGATGAACTATAGTAATAATACACTCGGTAACGAATTTAATCTAACACGATTATCGATTGCTCTTATCGAACCATTGTATTATTATTATTATTATTAATTTTTTTTCCCTTCTTAAATATCATTAAAACGGTCAATGATCGTATACTATTGTTATCAAAAACATGATCTCCAAACAAATACGCGTAAGGCAATCCCGATTCTTTGTTTTCTCTTCGTATTATTCCTTTTTCTTTATTTTCTAATGAATATATTTACATGTCCATGTTACATTCCGTTATTATTGTTAAAAACAAAAAAAAACAAAAAAAAATAAAAAAAGATATAGACAAATTTCTCTTCGTACGCGACCGGTGGAGGTTTAGCGATTGTTATCCACGTTGAGAACGATGATCAAACATTGGATCGAAACCAATGTGTCAATCTGTTATCGCAAATATTTTCGGCAAATATTCGGACACGCTTATTCGCTTTACGTTTCGACCAATTTCTTTCCCATCCCGTTATCGTAGAATTTATTTTAATTCTAAATTTAAATTGAAACGATTTTCTCTAATTATTTTTGTATCGACAAAGTATATCTTCTTTTTCTTTTTTCCATTTTTCCTCAATAGAATTTAATTAATTTTCGTTCATCTTTTTATTCGTTTGCCAATTGAATTTTCAGTTAAATGATTTCGAACTGGGAGAAAAACATCGTGCAAATCTTTTTTGTTATATCAACCGAAAGTTAAGTATTTTTTTCGCGTGTTACGGTCGCCGTTGTTTCCAATTATTTGGCGCGAAAATGACTGCGGTATTCGCCGTGTGCTCGTTTACCGTTATTAAACAAGAGAGAGAGAGAGAGAGAGAGAGAGAGAGAGAGAGAGAGAGAGAAAGAATAAAAACAGAGTATTTAACACACTTGCTCGAACGGAATCGAACGGAAGTACAAAGCAAATCGTATCTTTGAGCGTTCATTTTGTTTCGTATGGGATTGCGTATCCGAGATGTCGTTGAGTCGAGTAATCCAACCTTGTCATCATTTCTTAGCGTTTTATCTTTTGTTCAATCATCTCGTTAAAAGTGGATTATCCGAGTGTTTTTCGAACGACACCTGTTCGAGAACCAAAAGGATTGTGGATGACGATAACCCGAGGTATCTGATATTTCCGCAGGGAAGTAACGTTCAGGTGAGATGGACAAAACTATCTAATCAAATTTATTGCCACGTACGTGAGTCGTTTCAAAACAAACCCGAACAAAATATATATATATGTTACATATTTAAAAAATATATATATTTTTATACGAGAATGCAACGTAACGCAATATAACGGACTACAATATTGCGTGCGAGATTTATTGCGATATTATCGCGCTTTTTTATTTCCTTTTCTTTTTCCTGTTTTTTTTGTTGTTGTCGGGACGGTAAAAGACTCGAATACACACGAGTACTATGTCTGGATTGGAGTAAAAGAGGATGATGGGATGAGAAAGATTTGAACGTCCGTCGACGAGTTAATCGGTAACGAGAAAACAAAATGAAAAAAAGAGATCGGGTAGGAAGGAACAATAGTTAAAATAGAAAATATCAATATTATACTAGAGATTTATGTAGTTGCTTTTTTTCCTTCTTTTTCTTTTTTGAAAATAAAAGAATTTCCCGGGCGTTTTATCGAATTCTCCACACTGGAGGCCCTTTTAAAAAAAAAAATTCTAAAAATATTTATAATAACGTTTATTCGTTTAAAATAAGGAAAAGGGAGTGTTAGGAGGTAAGAAACAGCAGGGTAGTTAAAAGCAAAATTTATAAAGAAAGTTTTTTACAAGATCTACACTATGAGAAGGAACTTTGATAATAGAACATTTTTCAAACTTCCCTTTTGATTATCTAATTTAACCTCGGCGAATATGGATAACTAAACGTTTTAATGAACAAAGTTAAGCATGATAGCTTATTGACTAATAAAAATGAACGATTTTTTTCCTTTATTATCCTTTCTCTTACACTATTATTATTAGACTATACTTTAACTTTTAGTTTATAGGGATTTCACGATTTACTGCAGGAGAAAGAAATAGGGAACAAAAGAAAGAGAGAGAGAGAGAGAGAGAGAATCAGAGGTACGCAGGTAGATAAACAGATAGATAGACAGTAAGAAATAGTAAAAGAAAGAGGGAAAGAGAGAGAGAGAGAAAGAAAAGATGAAAGAGAAAGAGAAATGTCGAACGGGGAAAAGACTTTCCCTTTGGTGCTATCTCGTTTCAATATTTCAAGCAATTCGGTGATCGAGTAAACTTTTCGCGTAAGACAAGCAATCGATTCGAATGTAGGTAAATAACTTTGTAGCTCGAGCTACAACCTAGGTAAGATTGTTTGTCGAAAATAATGTAATTATAATAGGTATTGTATCTCTCACTCTTATTTACTGCAAAATTGAAAAGATAACCGATACAAGTTTATATTTCGAAATGAAATGGGGTTCAAAATGCTTGTATTAATAATAAAATAAAAATATTGTAAAAGCTTTTTACAGTTGTTAATGATTAAAATGTGAATTAACATTAAGAAACATAGAATAAATAATATTATAATGAGGGTGTTGAAAAATATATTGAATAAATATTATAGAAATTCTATGAAATTGTTAATATCAAAATATTGAAAATGAACGCTATCGACCTTATAATAAATATTAAATTTGTTCACATTAGTACCACATGAATCCTAATCGCGTATAAAATATCATATTATGCACTCAACTAATGTCGTATTAGCGCATCGCGATAAATTCGATCGAATAAATTCTTATTCAATTATTATATTTTCAAATATTCGAGCTAAAATTACGAACATTTAATAAAATGAACCAATAAAATTACTTGCTTTTTCTTACCGTGTTTTAATAACATTTGAATCTGTCTCTCCCCATAAAATTATTAACCAACCTAATGTATTATTTCAAATTTATCGATTTTATTTCTAATCGTATTTGTGTACTTTATGTATATATATATATATTTCGAAATTGCATATGACACATATACGTCCAGTTGGTATACTGTATGACCATCGCCACGTACTCGAAGCCTCAAGGAATGTTTACCGTTGGTGTTACGGCCGGACTGGCATGGGAACTTCCTCATAGAAATACCGTATTGTACAGGAAACCTGCCGAGGTTTATCATCGTCGAAGCAGAAGGGAGTTGTACCGCAAAGTGGAACTAATGCTGAAAACGTGAGTGACATACAAACCACAGGGAATGAGGGAAGGCGACAAAGAAAGAGAAAGAAAGAAAGAAAGAAAGAGAAAGAGAGAGAGAGAGAAATAATTTAACGATGCACGTGTCTATTCGATACCTGCGTGTTATTACCATTGTCCGTTTTATTGTACAATTTATTGCAATTTCGATTATTTCATTATCCAATCACACATTCTAACAGGAAATATAAATTATTGTTAAACGTATTTAATATGTAATCGATATTATTTCCGATAGTCCTCCATTGTCTTTTTTCCATTGTTCATTTTTTATTCACGAATTTATTATTGATATTAAGAGGAAGAAATTGCAATAATAATTACAATTAAAAAGAAATATAATAATGTCAATTACTGTTATATATATATATATATACGTTTCGTTTATTATCGAGTGAGTTTTGTTAAAAATCGAGGATCATTATAAATTTCGATAATGCACGTTGAAGTGGAGGCTGGGTGGTAGATGTTTTGAAGGAATAGTTTAAGAGGTTAATTCGATCAAACATAGTTACTCGTCATATTTCTTACTCGTATTTTCTATTCTTCCATTATTAAAAGAAAAAAGAAAAAAAGAAATAAGAAAAAAGAAAAATAAAAGTAAAAAGAATGAGAAAAATCGTGTATGCATGGGTAAATATTTGTATTTGTATTTCACGAAGGAAATGTTCTGTCATAATGCCTCGGCGCTTTTCTTTATTTGCATTACACGTTCTATGTAAATACACGTGAATAGTTTAATACACGTACGTATTTGTAAAGTTGACTTGAAAGAGAACAAACGAACGTACACGAACAAATAAACAGACAAAAAAATACGCAGCGATAAAAAAAGCGGTTTGCCATTCCGTAATATGTCTGCCACCATGGGAGAATATTTCCTATGCATGGAAAATAATAACAGGGTGATGGCAATTATCCAGTGATACGTATTACGATATGGAAAAAGAAAGATGTCAACGAATTATACTGAAAGAACAGAACGAGACGTTTATTTTGTTTTCTCCTCTACGATAAATCGATCAATTCGTTTGAAAATGAAATACGAGATAAAAGAAACGATTTGTCGAATTTCACATTCCTATTTTTCTTTTTTCTTTATTCTTTTTTTCGTAAAAATAATCCCCCTTCAAATTTTCCTCGTCAATCAATCAATTAATAATAATCGAACATTAATAATAGGATATCCTTGAATCGTCAAAATTGTCTATCTCTTTCTAATTTTCCAATAAACTCGGTGAAAAGGGAGGAGGAGTGAGTTGGGAAAGAAACGAGTCGACGAAAAGAAAATAATTCCACGGTGATATTGATGCTAAAATCAGCAGAGTATTATACGAGATCTTATAATGATGAGAACAGACTCTGCAATGAAATCGAAATCTTCAGACGACGATGTTGCTTAAAATAAAACAAAAAAAAAAGAAAAACAAATATATATATATAAAAAAAAATGAAATAAAATAATCACGTGATCTCTACGTTAGTCTGAAAGGGTTCGTGGTACCGTAGTTTAACGAGTGTCGAACTTGCGAATAAAAATTAAAAAAAGGGAAGAAACAAGGACAAGAAATGAGATTAAAAAAAAATAAGAAAGGGACAGCGTTTTGGTTTTTGTTTGCCTGTTGTTTAACCCCTTTGTGGTACTTTCTTTTTCTTGTGAGTTCAACAACGTCACGATTTGCCAAGCGTCAAAAGGTGTCATCTCTTCCTTTTTCTTCTTAGCTTTCACTACGAGAAGGAAACGAAGCAAAGGTGAATCGAAAAGCAAAAGGTCAACTTCTCTGAGCTATTGTGCTTTTCCAGCTCGAACAAGGATGCTTTGCTGAGGGAGGGCGAACTATCAAGGATCTGCCTGCATAAAATGAGAAAGAATGGAGAGAAGGGGAAGAGGATTCGTTGGGGGTGTATAAAAAGCTCGCGAGAGTCCCGACTTTGTTGTTTTTTCACGAAAATCCTACCTTTATTTCTTCTCAATCAATCTAGATATTTTTTGGGCGAAATTATCGAAGGTATTGGAAAAGGGAGAAGTAAAGAACCAAAAGGGTTACAGGGAGAAAAGGGAGAGTAATAAGATAGGGATGAAAAGAACCCTTGACAATGGCTAGGAGGAGGCATTATTCGAATGCTCGTATCGATCAATTAATGCACTTGAGTACTCTTTATATGAAGAAGGATTTGTTAGAGCTAAGAGTTTGTATGTGCAAGAGGTTTAAAGGTCACCAAATGAAATTTCTTTTCTTTTTCTTTTCTCTCTCTCTTTTTTATCATCTTAAAACTAGATTACGTCTTTTGTCAAGAAAATCATTAATTGCACTGTTGATTACTATAACACGTAATCTTACGATTAATTTTCGAATCAATTCGTTTAACTCGTACAATTATTTATAGATACGAGAAACAATTGATTGATTGTACTATTGTTGTAATATTAATTGTCGAATATAGGTTTTTAGTGATTGGTTGGAATTCTGAATTCGTTCGAATAAAACGTAGCAAGGATCTTAAAGAGAATATTTCGTGGCAATGACATTACCAAGTGAGACAAAGACTATGTGTGTGTGTGTGTGTTTGTGTGTGAATTTTGGTATCAACGTTCTAGCCAGCATTATCGCCAAGTTAATGAATAGACCGTTGACTCTCTTGGCGAAACTGACGGCCGATAACGAGGATGATAGTTACAAACGACACCGTCTCGTACCCTCTCCTCTCCTCTCCACTCCTCTCCTTTTCTCTCTCAACACATAGAGAGAGGACAGAGAGACACACACATATATATATATATATATATACTCTGTGTGCCATTTAACGTGTATCGCAAGTCACGTCGTATGACTACTCCTTCCTCCCTTCCTCCCTACCCCCTTTCTTCCTTCCTTCCTTCCTTCCTTCCTTCCTTTTGGGGTTAACGAGAAGCGAGTTCCCTTCGTCCTTAATACCTTCGAGAATATAAGCAATCTTATTTGATTTTCTTCTTTCATCTCACGTGAAAATGACAACGTCTAAGTTTACCTAAGAAGTAGTTCTCTTTATAAAGTAACCTAGTTTCATGTTAGAATAAACAAGTTTAGTCATATTTTTTGGTTAATTTTTCTGTCAAATAAATTCGTTCAATAATTTTCATGGTTATTATACATAAACTGTATATAATTTAGAACAGTAACATAACTTCTTTTTTGTTTATTCGTTTATAGTCAAGGTAAAGATGGCAAGGCTTGTGTTCTCAAAGCAATTTGCAAAGCTGCTAAAAGGGATAGTAAACTGATTGGCAAGGGTACATTCCTCGAAGAAATTTTACACACTATATTCACGTAAGTATTCATGGTTCAATTGATATCAAATATTCCCTTTTTCTTTTATCTATTCAACTATAATATCATTAATAATGTTTAATAATTCTGTGATCTAGCAAATAATTTACAATTAATCCTATTACGACTAAATGAAATTTATTTCTCCTTGACATATGTAATTTTAAACGAAAGAAAAATTTCGAGAATCCTAATGGAAAGATTTTAAAAACATGACACTTACGTATACTAGCATAATCATATATATATATATATTCATTTAAATATTTTTTCCATACATATATTACGAGAATATAAATTAGAAATTATTTTTATCTGAAGAGTTTCAAAGGACGCGTATATACCGATGAATAAAATGTTAATGTAAATCACGTCACAAAAGAATATTAAAATGCTCGAGGATATAGAAACTTAGAAGAAATCTCCAATTTATTGAGTCGATCGGAAAGTAATTACGTATTTTTTTTTTTTCAATGGTTTATTAAAACACGATTTTTATTCATATTTAAAATCCGAGGCCTTTTAAATGATCCTTAACGATCGAATTTGATAAATTCAACTTCCCAGATACTTTAAAGTCATTCAAATGAAATTAATATCTAAACGAAAAGTTATTTTACTTAAATCTTATATAATATATATACAATTATTCCTAAATTCAAAGGCCATTTTATACTTTTATACATTTTTTTCTTTTTCATATTTTTCGCAAAAACGAAAATTTCTCTTGGTAACTTTCAACATAGTTTTGAAAGCCAAGTTCTTCGAAGTTGTGCTTCAATAAATAAATAAAAAAACAATAGAAAGATAGATAGAAAGAAAGAAAGAAAAAGATAAATTAAATAGAAAAAGGAAATATCAATAAGTGTTATCGATACCGGAAGTTGTATGTACGAAAGTTACATTTGAAAAAGTTTACAATGCCACAAGATCCAATAGTTCGAACTTGATTCCGGTCACTTTTTGAGAAGACACTTTTTTATTTCCTTATTTTTAAAAATTTTAATAATTCAGATATAGCAGTATTAGTATGATTCGTAATTTCAAATATAATATTATAATATATATTCTAGTCTATTCGAGAAATCCGAGAATCGATTAACGAGAGCCTGCTCGACTCGTTTTCAATAGAAACTTCTTATCGAAGTTGGTAGTATAATTCCCGTGAGTAATTCGTTCCTTCAAACGATAGATCTCAAGTGTTAAACACGCTGAACCAATTTCGACACTGACAAGGACTTCTCTAGCTTCCTTATCTAAAGTAGGCAAGAATCTTGGCTTGTATTTACGTTTCCTTAACGTTCCATCTCTTTTTGGATTTCCCAGAAGGTGGGAGAACTTTCTACGTAGGCGTACCACGTCTAACCAATTTATTTTTCATTTCTCTTCTTTCTTCAAATATTTAACAACCGAAAATACTACTCTAATTATTTACTTATTGTTACGCTATTATATTTTTCTAATTTATTTGTTTTTTTTTTCCCCTTTTTATTAGTAACAACGACAAGTTCATTAATTTACTTTTCAAATTAAAAGGAAAATTCTTCTTTATAATATAAATGATAAAAGTAATAAAATACTAATACTAATAATAATAATAATAATAATAATAATAATAATAATAATAATAATATCTGCTTGAACTTTCACGAATTTGTTCGTATAAAGTTCTTCAGCATTCAACGAAAAATATATGTATATTAATGTAAATATTTAATGTAAAAGATATCTATATGTATGGAAAATATATAAATAAATATAATATTCGTATTTTATAAGGGAAATATAAACCGCAATAATTTATAATAATCATTTAAATATTAATGGTAAATCATATTAAATCAAATAATATCATTATGAAATGATGAAAAATAAATAACGAATTCATTTAATTACAGATTACCGGATGGATATTACGAGCTCGATCCAATGACAGAATACGAAAAGGTTTATACCAATAAAAAAAATTGCGACGAATTTGTCGCTAAATGTCCGGATGTCTTTTGATAACAAAACGGATGAGTCCTGTTAACTTGGTCTCTATACTCTACACATCGATAAGTTTACTTTCCGGAAAATCACTTTCCAGGGGGCATTCGGGCATTAACTCTGTTGGACTTCCTAGAAGAGCTTGGAAACCGCTTTAGTTAATGCTGCGTTTGTGCGGCTTGGTAGTACATGCCACATCTCTCTCTCTCTCTCTCTCTCTCTCTCTCTCTCTCTCTGTCTCTTTCTCTTTCTCTCTTTCACCTACCCCACTTCATCTAAACTTGACATCTAATTAACGAAATTAACCAACCTAAAAGACATTCATTCGCGATTATTTTCAAATATTATATATGTGCGGTATGTGCGCTGTATTTATAGTGATAACATGATTAAATAGGATTAAAATGATGAGAAAAAAAGTAATAGTAGTATTTTATTGATTAATAACTTAGATATTTCTTTCTATACTTTTATCTATAAGAATATATAGTATTCGGAATAGCAGACACATAGAACTCCCAGTACGTGTACCTGGTACGTGCTCGTTGAACCGTATAATAAACATTCATGCTGTCAGAGCTTAATGCACTTTTTATTGCGTATCGTCTGAGTGCTCGAGTATCTCTACGTTATGTGTGTACTTTCTCGCCCAAAGCTATGCTCTATTTCCTATATCTTATCCATACGTTTATCGTTTGACCCCCCCCCCTCTTCCCTTCCCTTCCCTACATTATACGTTTTACGTTCAACAAATTTCTTTAGAATACGTTCTAGCAAAATTCTACTAATTGATGTACTTTAAATTAAATAAAGCTTAGATTATTTTCTTTCCTTTTTTTTTTTCAACACAAATATAATTATCCACGATTTACATAATAATATAATATTTTTGTAAATAGGGTTTTTCAATGTGTTTTAATGAAATCTAAATAAGGAAATTCTAACGCGATTTGGGAATTGACAAGTACTTCTGTTAATGACGTGCGATACAAACCTGATTCCCAATTGACGATCTCTAGCAATTGGAATTGTATTATACCAAATGCGTCTATGTCAATGTATCGCACATTCCTGGTTACACGCTATGCGTATAATGTAAATGTGCGTACCAATATGCGATTATATATATGTGCATGTGTACGCGAGTGTGTGTGTTTGCGTGTACGAACATATCCAATGAAAATACACGTGCGCGATGACAAACTCCGGAAAGCTATACATCCAGCGAAGATGTATGGTATATTATTCCAGTAATATGAATTATTATTATAATACCATTCAATTGATACAACAACAATATCTAATATTTTCATTTCCAATATGTCTTTAATAATTTATTATACTTTTTTTCCAATAATATTATTAAATATTATTTGCTTAATATAATAGTTAATACGTATTATAGATTAAAACGTAACGTATACCCCATAGTAATTAAATATTTAAAGAAAGCAACGATGAAATAAAGTTAAATGAGTTCTTGTTAATGTGATTAAATTTGTAATTAAAATTAAAAATAAGAAGGAAAGAAAAAAAAGAAAGAAATTTACTTGTTACAGTAATTACATGTACTATAAAATGAACGAGCAAATTAATTAGAATTGATTGCAATTAAAGTGAGGAAAATTAGCTTCTCCTTGTTCTTGCAAAAGCTTTTTATGAGATAAAAAGACGTTCGCGAAGGCTCTAAAAAAAACGTTGAATTCTCGTGTAAAGTATAGGTATACAAAGTTGGGCTATAATTTTGTGTGTATATCGTTTGGCGATAATTCGAAACTCAAAGTAGACTGTTTTACGAGGATCTACGCACGTACTTGGTATAAATGTTAAGAAATAGTAGAAGCTCGAATGTTCATTTACGTCTCTACGAACTTTAAATAATATTTCAACTATACATATATAATACTTTAACAACAAGATCGATCGATAATGAACTTTGATTTTAATTACTTTGTCTGCCTACGTATTTTCAGTCTTAATTAAATATAGATACAATATTTAATCCAGTAAGTTGTTCTTATGTAATAATAATGCATATGTCGATCCGTGAGATGCAATCGAAGGTAAAAAAAAAAGCATAAAAAGAATAAGTTTGGAGAGAAAAATAAATGTTGAAAAAAGAAAGAAATAACGAGTAACGATGATATCATTGGAAAGTCAAGGACACACCATTTTTTCACATTTTTCAAGGTTTCTTGCTCGCCTTGAGCGAGTCGAAAAAGAAGCGAGAATGTAGCCGAGATGATCGTGTTCCAGCAGTCCGGAACGATAACTCGTACATCAAACACACGTGGCGTGTCTTCCTGATACGTGGGGAAAAACTAGCGATACCGTTTCGAATTCTTTGAGTTTTTAAATCTTGTCATGGTGACTGGATTTCAACTAGGAAGAATATCTGAGAACAAAATATAAAAAGAACGGAACTTCTGTTTTTACCACAACATTTTGTTTTTCCAGACTGAAGAATATAGTCAACAAAAGGAAATACAAATTTGCCGGTAAAATAATTTAATTGTTATCCTAATCGATATAAAATAATAGTGTAAGGGAGGAAATTCGAGGTGAAACAATTTGGTGATTGAAGAAAAGAAACTAGACAAGGGTTGAAATCGTTTGGTGAAGAAATGAGGGCATCCTTCTTGTTCATTTTGATTCTAATCGAGGTAGCAAACATTGTTCTTGGGGTATCCGTGTGTCACCGTAATAACACTGACTTTGCTGTCAGAGGCCAAAGTTCGGAGGAGAGCTTAGTCAGAAGAAGACGATCATCCCTCGTATTTCCAAAGGGTAGCGCATTCGTGGTAAGTCTTCCTATCAGATCTATCGGTACGAAGTTCGAATCAATATGTGATAGAATTTGATTGGGTAGTTTAAGAGAATTCGTACAATGTCATTCATTATTTTGTCATTTTATTCGAATAATTTATATATTTTGTTTTTTTTTTTATTTTCAGACAACTGTGGCTATGTTGAAAGCTATCATGGTTAAAGAACCACCGAATTGGAATTTGATTTATGAGTTTGACGTAATATGGCCGATACCGAGCGAAGAAAATTTTCGAAAGAATTTCTATAGAAAACCGTGGCTGATAAAACGACGCCATAGACGTGAAATTTATAATAATTTTGAAATGGCATTGAACAGGTACTATTTTTTATATACCAATATAACTGAAAGACCCTTTAGAATGTATTATTTTCATTTATATAATCCAATTTTAATTTAATCTCTTCTCGGGAACGTTTTAAACTCGTAAAGAATAAAAAGAAAAGAAAACGAAATTAAGGATGAAAAGCGTTAGCACATGAAAAGGGATAAATAACTCTTTTCAGTCAAAATCTACCTGGACGTCAATGCGTTCTTAGAACTATTTGCGAGGCTGCTACGATTCTGAATCAACCGGGCTTGTCGTTGGTGGAAAAAGCGTTGAAAGTAATCCTCGGGTACGCTTTTTATATCTGGCTTCTTCGTTTCATTTCGATTAGTTTTTAATGAAAATCTCGTTACAGCAATTCCGAAGACGTTGAAGATACCGATTATTACGATTTGGCTTACCGAAAAGGAACTGGTTGTAATCTCGAGTATCCTTGTCCATTTTCTTTTCTACAATTATTATTATATTGCTTGTACTCCGGAATTGTCATATAAAAAGGAAAACGTCTTTTCAATTAAACGTTCATTTGTTTCAACACGACAAGTGTTACACGAATCAATAAATTATTTTTGCCTCTAATAAGAATTATAATTCTATTACGATGCGTTTAATCGCGTGAATTTAGATTTGAACAAATCATTATCTTGAAAATAAAGTTAGCTTGCAATCGTTACCATCATAGAAGATGAATATTTTATAAAGAACATGCGATAAAGTTTGAAAATGTATAAAAAAAATCAATTCTATATAAAATATTTTTCAAAACTTCTTTACCTATCATTGTGAAAAAACATATGAATATTATATTAGTATGTTTCTCATGTATAAAATCAAAATTTTAATTATTGAACACATAAATATCACGGTTTGTTTATTGTTTACATTATATATAATAAATGTATACTTGTATTATACGTCATTGATTCGTCTATTCCTATTTTCTGTCCCTCTTTCTTTCTTTCTTTCGTTCGTTCGTTCGTTCCTCAGCTTTATCCTGGAAACTTTGAAAAGCGTCAACGTGACAACCGATATTACTTTGCACGAGAGCCCGAAGCGAAAGAAAGTTTATCGATGAAGAAAAGGTTGCCTCGGTGCTTTCGTAGTCGGTGAAATGCAAAAGGCGATTGTTACGGACAATCGAGCTGTTCCGATGCTTATAATCGTGGCCCAAAGTCCGGGGCCATTGTTCTTCTTTATATTCTTCTCCAGTCTTCTTAGATACTTTCATCGTTGCAAAAAACACTTTGCAAAATTTTCATTCTCCATTTATCTTTTTAATTTTTTTTTCTTCAAAATTTCTTCTTCCTTCCATTCATTGTTCTCAATTACCAATTACTTATGCACGTGCATGAAAAATAAATAAAATCGTTTGATTTTATTAGTTAATTCTGTGATTTTTCCTATTAAAATTGAAAGAATTCGAAAAATGTTAACATCGGCCAAGAGCGAACGAGATTGGACCAGGTCCAATGATGTAAACTATGTTTATACATAAGTTTAGGTATTTTCGCGTGAGTAAATCCGTAACACCTAATGTATACCGGTAGACACGGATACACGTGTACAACGATAAACTTTAATCGTATTAACATCGTTGAGGTGATTAACACCCGAAAGGCTACCGGTGCTTCGACCCAACGCGTTCCTCGAGTTTACGTTAATCGCTTGTTAAATATATATCCGAGGGAAGAAGAAGAAAAAAAAAGAAGAAAAAAAAGAAAAACGATAACGAACGAACGGTTGCGTGGCAATGTTCGAAAAACCATATCACCCAGAAGTACTTGTTCTTCCTTGAAAGCAGAAAGCTTTTCCTAATCGTTCTCTGTCTTCGAGAAATTAATACAAGTGAGTACGATAAAAAAAGAGAAATAATAGAGAAATAATTTTATATGAAAAGAAAGTGATTGTTTTAAATAATTACATGTACTATAGATGGGGGTCCGGGGTATATGTAAAATAAGAAATTTCTATTTATCGCGTCGTTAAAGTTCGATCGGAAAAAAGAACTGGTGAATTTTGTTGATTCTGCTCTTTAATTAAACGGAAATCCAAAGTATTTAATCGTTCCAATTCCGCAAACTCGTTTGTTACTAGCAGCGAACTTTTCTTCGGTTGGCTCCGTTCTCCTTCGTCTGGAATGCGGCCGGAATGCGAGACAATGAAAAATGTAAAGGGGACTGTTGGAAGAAAAGAAAAAGAAAAAGATAAAAACAAAAGGAAAAAGAAAAAAAAAAAAAAGAAAATGATACGGTTCTCGTTAAACTGTAGGGACGTATTCTCACCTAGAAGAATTTTTTCGACGAAAGGAATTTTCCCATCATCGATATTTGCTATCCCCAGCAGTTGAAAGAGGAGCCTCTTTCATCGAAATAACACACACCTGTGGTGACAAGTAGAAAATTCAAAAAAGATTTGCGAACTGTACGAAAGAATAATTATTTATTAATCGATATACCGGGCGACTCAAAAATTGATCTTACGTTTGCAACGTTTATTATAATAAAACTTTGTCGTTGAATTGTGTGAATTATTCAAATGTACCTAAATTATATTAATCAACGTCGAATATTCGATTTCTTAAACATTTGAAATCGTTAAATATTATTTTGAACAACAATAACGACTCGTGTTTCGTACGAGAATAAAAAGAATATCTTGGATCGAAAACAAAGTCTTCCCGCATAGCAATATTTTGGAAGGGATGTCGTCTCCTTAGAGAGAAAAATATTCGAGAGACCTCGATCAAGTTTTGTAGTATTTACCAATACCAATATCTATCGATCATTTTCTCTCTTCTTCGAGGTTTTTCCACCCCGAGAGCTAACAACTTCCTGTTTCCTAAAGAGCTTTGCAGAAGAGAATCTTGAGATATTTCTAGTAGAAATGAGAAATCGATCTTTCGACAACAATTCAAGGTGAAAAGTTTTCGTCCACGTTTGGGGGTACTTCGAATGCCCTCCAAACTCTAACAGTTTGCTTTTTTTTTCCTTTCGTTATCTTTATTTATTTCTTTATCTTTTTGATTTGCAAACAATTTTCTCAACACCATATAACCACGAATCTTCAATCGTTTGTGTATTTTTTTCTTTTTTCCATTTTTTCATTTCTTATGGAAGTAATCAAAGTAGGAGTGATTTACAAAGTGAATAGTATATTTTATTTCTCGAGGAAGGAGAAGAAAAAAAAAAGAAATAAATTCCCTCCACCTTCTTCTCATTCTTCTCTAAGTAATTTCAAACAACGATCGAGATAAAAGATTTCTATTTTCATCTTATAGAAGGCAATCGGAGGAAAAAACTTCTCCCCTTTCGTGTACCCTAGGCGTCATTTTCGTTGAAATATATTCCTGACTATACTGCCTGCGTTAACGACTAACATAAGAAGAAGTACTATGAATTATATTAGTATACGCGAATGAATTATATTATATCGAGGTTTGTCGTGGAACGTTACACATTTCATTTCCCATTTATTATTACCAAATTTTGTCGAATACTATTCGTTAGAAATAAAACTAAAAAGAAAAAAAAAGGAGTGAAAAGTAGAGGAATAAAAAGAAAGGGAGGAAAAAAAAATACGAAAAGAAAAATCTGATTAGGAAGATAAAACGGGTAGATCGTAAAAGTCAGAGAGGAGAGAAACTAAGAAGGGTGGAAAGAAGAAGAATCGCGAAAGGGGCTTGTGGAGTTAGGGGTTGGGTTTGGTTAGATTGGTGAGTAGTGGTAGAAAATCCGGAAGTGGAGATATTCGTACACGCGTATTGGTGAAATACTCGTGTCTATTCAAACGAAGAAGGAATGTGACAATATCCTTTTTTTCTCACGGTGCGGTAGAATAGAACGGTGAAATACGCGGGGGAAACGAATTTCTTCCAATTGGAATTACGAAGAAGAAAAAAAAACAAGAAGATAAAGAGGCGGATAAGCAAATATCGGAATGAACAAGGAAAGCTTCGGAAACGGGGGTGAAAAAAGTTGAAACGGAAAATTTGTAGTATCCCTGATGTTTTTTTTTTTTTTGCCCACACAAATCTACATTTAAACGATTATTTTACGTACGATTAGGATAAAAGTTAAACAAAAATAGTATTTGATTTTATACTAAACATTATCCTTATGCAGATATTCACGTTTGTAACATTCGCGTATTCCACTTTATATAAGTAACCATCCTTTCCTTGAAATTCACAAAATTGGGGGAAAAGGGTGTGTGGGTTACCCTATTTTAAGCTCAAGGACTCGGTTAAAGTCAACCATTTTCCCTCGCTAACTCTTCCACGAATTCTAAAAATTGCTAATCGAGCTGTCACTCGCTTAGAAGTTACCCATCGTTTTCGGTAAAGCTCATTTACATTTCCTTCTACGTTAGATAGATCGAAATGTCTTCGCGTATGTGTATGTGTATGAGTATATCCATACGGATGAGAAAGTGAAAGAGAATGTAAAGAGGATTTCACGTCGTTTACGTATCAGCACCTCAAGCAATGTCGTTCGTTATGATTATTTCGTCGATTTTCTCGCGACATTCCAATCTCTCCTTCCACTCTCGCATACTCTCTCAAACGTTGCATCTACCAAATATATATATATATATACATATATACATATATATAAATTCCAATCGAACTTACGAAATACTTTCCCAAAGATTTTTCACTACGAATTTTCCTAACCAAACGCACACGATTTTAGATAAGAAAATTATTATTTAATATCATATGAAAAATGTGTGATAATCATTCTTAATTAATTATTATTTAAAAATAAGAATAAATTGTGTTGTTGCCCTATTATCCTAATATAAATCAAAGCTCTCTCGTCCGTCGGGATTCAACAAAGGTATCGATAATCGAAAAAGTTTAGGAACCACTGATATATAGATAAATAAAATGCTAGATATATCGGATTACAGGTAATCGATAAGTTTAAGTATACGGTAGAAAGATATGAATGAATGAAAGTAAGTCCCTTCTTCTTTAGTTGAATGTATATTTCATTTTAAAGATATGGATCGTTTTGTCGGCCGTTGGATGCTTATTCTGACGATACTTTGCGGTCTGGTGTATGAGCACAAAGCGGACAGTGATCGTGATAGTCCGCACTCGAGACGGAAACGTTACGTCGTCTTTCCGGAAGGTTCGAGTTTTTCCGTGAGTATCAAGAGGCACGTACTACATTCTTCTTTACAAACCTACCGGATCTACCAAAACCCACGAGACGTTGGAATATTAAGAAAGGATGAAATGTATACACGGACACATTTACTTTCAGACACGCATGCATACAGACACACACACACACACATATACATACATGTATATTCTTTATTCCTTTACTTTTTTTTTGCTTCTTCTTCTTCTTATATCCAACAAATCCTAACGTTCTATTTTATTTATTCTTTCATTTTATTTCAAGAGGACCAACTGAGAAAGAAATTGTCTGGTAAATCTTTTGTTAAATTGAAAAAAAAAAAAGTAAAAGAAAAGAAAAAAAAA